GCTATGCTAAGAACTTTTGGAGAACGACTTTTTTTGTTATGATACTTCCGTATCAGGGAGTATTTTGCGAATTGCATCCAAGAATCTTAAGGTTAAGGTAACCTCAAGTCTTACTGCTGAATGTCGTGATGTTTGTTATATTAAAACAGAAAACTTTTTGTCTATTTCTTCGATAGAGACATAGCTATAAACTATTGTTAAAACATCGTCTGTGAACACTGATTTTGCACGTTGTGATTTTCGTTTATGTATATTTTAATATCTCCAAGAAAAATTATTGAAAATTTCAATTCTATGTTATCTCTTTGCAATTAAAGAGGTTTTTGATTATTTTGTTGTGGTGATTGTGTTTTGAATCTAACTTTTCCATAATGTGAGCCTATGTTGCATAAACTTGGTATAAAATGATTAGTTGTTTGTCTCTCCATCATTTTGTTCAAAAAAAATTTTCTTTGTGCGAACTGCTTTCATATTTTGAAAATTTATGAATTTTTTCTGCTATTTCGTTCTTTGAAACTTGAATGTGTTCTGAATCTGAATTGGTTGTCTGAATATTTAAAACACAATGAAAATTTTTCCAATTTTTAAATTTCTTTTCGTAAAACTTAAAAGATTTTTGAGCTGTTCAGTCGAGTGTGGTTTGTATCAGTGCTGTACATCTATCAATTCAATTCTGATGCAGAGGTGTGTTTAAAGATTCTGGGCCTGTTTTCAAATATAAATTTGCTGTAACAGAACTTAAAGAATCTGAAAATGAGTGTTAAAGTATGTTAGTGTGGATACCATTAGAGGTTTATTTGATCAATTGATGATCCAATCATAAGGTATGGATTCATTGTCATTTACAGGCACTCTGGTGTTTTAGGTATTTTAGTGAATTTTGCATGTTGATGTCTGCTGATTTCAAATTTTTTTTAGTTTTATGGTAGTGGTACTTAATTTTTTATTGTTTCAGCCTAAGGACGTTGAGCGTAGAGCATGTATTGGGTTTTGAGGTTTTAAGTTGTGGCTTGGTGATTAAAATTCTGGTTTGTTTGTTCTGCGTCCCTAGATAACTATTTTCTTGTTTTCTTAAATTTTCTCCTTAAAAAAATCGAAATTATTCATTTTGCTGAAAGAAAAATTCATTTTTTAGAACGATCTGTTTGAGTGTTCTTTTTTTTCTTGGAAACTGACTGATTGGGGTTTGAAACTTTAGGTTGTTGTTAATAGGTATGGTCAACAGATAGTAATTTTATTGTTTTGAAATGGGTTCATTATGGAATTACTAAAGTTTTGCCTGCACAAAAATCATAATTATGCTTTGCAAAAGTGCTCTTTTTTGTTTTCATATTGAAACATTGTTTTTTAGTAATAGGTCCTAAAATCCTTTAATGATTGGATTTGATGGAGTTGGTTTGATTGCAAACTGGGTTGATGGAATGATGTATGATTAGTTTGTGATGTTGTAAAAGTAGGATATGTTAGTGAGATACTTTGCTGTGTTGTCACTGGCATTGTGGTAACGAGTTCTTTGTGTGCAGAGTGTGACGTGTTTGAAATTCTTATTCCTGTAGGATTGTTGTTCAGTCTAAGTTTTCTTGTCAATTCAAGCGTATTGAGTTTAATCTTGTGTTACCTGTTCTCTTGTGAAGTATAGTTTTGTTTTTGAATGTTCTTGTCTCTGGTATTAATGAGATAACTGTCAAAATTCTCTTTTAACTTAAATTGTTTAAGTTGCTGAGTTTGAAAAATCATTTGGTGCAATAAAGAACATATCATGATACCATTCAAGGTCTCAAACATAACATATTTTATCTGCCATAATTGCTTAATTGTCATAGGTAGTACGGAATTGTTTTCTTGAATGAGCTATGAGTTTTATGTTATGTGGAAGTAGCTGATTATAAACCAAGCTAAAAACTTTTGGAGGACGATTTTTACTATTGATGATGCTTCCGTATCTGTGATTATTTCGGGAATTGCATCCAAGAATCTTGAAATTAGGGCAAACACAGTTCTTAATGCGTAATTTCACGATGTTTGTGATATTAATTCAAAAAAATTTTTTGTCTGTTGCTAAGGTGGATTTATAGCTATGACTTTTTAACATCGTTTGAGAATATTGATTTTGAACGTTTTGAAATTTGATGTTGAATAAATTTAATATCTTTTAATAAAACATTTGAAAAACTTAATTCTATGTCATCTCTTTGCAGTTCGCTGTGTTGTCACTGGCCTTTTGGTACCGATTTCTTTGTTTGCAAACTGGGATGATGTTTGAAATTTTTGTTGATTTAGCAACGTTTTTCCGTCTAAATTTTCTTGTCTATGCAAGCATGTTGAGCTTAAGCTTGTGTTACTTGTTCTCTTATAAAACATTATTTGGTTTTTCAATGGTCTTCTATCTGGTGTTAATGGGATAACTGTCAAAAATCTATAAAAATTGAAATTGTTCATATTGTCGAGCTAGAAAAACCATTTGGTGTAATAATTAACATATCATGATGTCATTCAGGGTCTCAATCATAACATGTTTCTTATGCCATAATTGTTTAATTGTCACAGGTAGACGGAATTGTTTTCTTGAATGAGCTATGCGTTTTAAGTTATGTTGAAAGTAGTTGATTATAAACCATGCTATGAACTTTTGGAGGACGATTTTTTATATTGATGATGCTTCCGTATCTATGATTATTTCGGGAATTGCATTCAAGAATCTTGAAATTAGGGCAAACACAGTTCTTAATGCGTAATTTCACAATGTTTGTGATAGTAATTCAAAAAACCTTTTGTCTATTGCTAAGGTGGATTTATAGCTATGACTTTTTAACATCGTTTGAGAATATTGATTTTGCACGTTTTGAAATTTGATAATGAATAAATTTAATATCTTTTAATAAAACATTTGAAAAATTTAATTCTATGTCATCTCTTTGCAGTTTGCTGTGTTGTGACTGGCCTTTTGGTATCGATTTCTTTGTTTGCAAAATGGGATGATGTTTGAGCTTAAGCTTGTGTTACTTGTTCTCTTATAAAACATTATTTTGTTTTTCAATGGTCTTCTATCTGGTGTTAATGGGATAACTGTCAAAAATATATATTAACTGAAATTGTTCATATTGCCGAGCTAGAAAAACCATTTGGTGTAATAATTAACATATCATGATGTCATTCAGGGTCTCAATCATAAAATGTTTCTTATGCCATAATTGCTTAATTGTCAAAAGTAGTACGGAATTGATTTCTTGATTGCGCTATGAGGTCTATGTTACGTTGAAAGTAGGCAATTATCAGATTGCTAAGAACTTTTGGAGAACAACTTTTGCTATTGATGATACTTCCGTATCAGTGAGTTTTTTGCGAATTGCATCCAAGAATCTTAAAGTTAACGTATTTTCAGTTCTTACTGCAGAATGTAGTGATGTTTGTGATACAAAATAGAATAATCTTCGTCTATTTCTAAGATGGAGACATAGCTGTAAGCTTTTGTTAAAACATCGTTTGTGAAAATAGGTTTTGCACGTTGTGAATTTCGTTTTTGTATATTTTAATATCTCCAAGAAAGTTTTTTGACAAACTCAAATCTATGTCATTTGTTTGCACTTAATGAGGTTTTTGACTATTTTGTTCTGGTGATTGAAATTTGATTGTATTTTTTCCATTTTGTGAGGTTATGTTGCATAAACCTGGTAGATAATTGTCAGTTGCTTGTCTTTTTCGTTTTTATTCTAGAGTTTTTTCTTTGCGTGGACTGTTACCTTTCCGAAAAAAAATTATTTTGAGGTTATGAAAAAATTCTACTTGTCCACGGGTTGTATGATGATTGGTCCACGGGTTGAACTATCGGGTTATATGATGAATGGTAGGATAGAATCTTTTGTGATTAGAGTGAGATTACTATTATTGTGAGACTTTCAATATAATTGATAGGTTGATTAAAAAAGTTTGTTCGTACAAGTTTTTTAATACAATTTTAGCTTTTTTCTTCGTTTATTTTTCATGGTTGAAGCTGTTGTTGCTTCTGAGTCGGTAAATTGGCTTTCTTAATTTCTCGTGTTTGTTAGTTTGTTTCTTGATACTGAAGATATTTGAGCTTCTGTAATATTGATCCGACAGAATCTGAAATTATTTTAGGTTTCCTCGAAAAGCGATTTTTTAGAATTTGCTCTTGTTTGCAGAGGAGAGTTCTCTCTTTTGATTGTTTTTTTTTTGTTGTGATATATCATGTTCTTTGTTGATTCGGTGTTAGTAGAAAACTATATCGGGAGTATTGGATGAGGTAAATGTGTACTATCAACGTTTGCTTATTGGCTTAACTGGATGTTGACACAAGTGTTAGTTTGATTGGTTTATGTACAATCCAATTGTTAATTGTTCTAGCTCCTAAACGATTAGTTTTTACTCTTTTGGTGAAACTCCTTCTAACCTTTCGGTTTGTATTGTTGTGGCAAGACGGGTTGGGGAGAGAGTATATCGATTCAATAGAATGTTGTTTTACTGCTCTCATAAGTATGTGCTTTTTCTACATTGAAACATTGTTCATCTTATTTAAATGGGGATCGATATGAGATCTGATCTAGTGTTCGAAAAAGTAAATAAATCAACAAGTTCCACTTACAATTAGAACAAAAGTCGATACTATTTAAGATTTTATTTTGAAAAGAGGTAGGCTTGAGTTACCGAAGTCTTTGCTGTTTAGCCTAATTTAAATGAGGAAACTAAATTGAGGTTTTAAAGGGCTTTTCGTCAACTAGTCCTGGGTAGTTTAGAGGGGTTGAAAAGTGGATCGACTTTTCAAGTCGTTAGACAATTAACCAAGGGTTGGATTGAATCTGAAACTGAAGTTAAAAGATTCGAGGAAAGACTTGATTGACCAAGTTTGATGATCCAAGATTTCGTTTAAGTCCAGATTTAAAGTTTGAGGTAGATCATTTTTATATAGTTATCTGGATATTATCAGTATTCTTTCATATATTACTCGACATATGCGGTTTTTTGAATTGTTTTTTTTTTGCTCTATTTAATAAGTTTAAGTAGCATTAAGAGAAAAGTAGAAACTGTACAAACTGTTTTTACTTTTGTCGTCGTTGTCTGTTTTTTCGCTGTGCGATGCAGGTTTCGGTTTTCGTCTCCGTTGTGATGGGTGTTTGTCTTTAGTATTGGTTTGACTTAATAAGACTTATTGAGACGTGAAACTCAGCTCATTTTTTGTGAATTTGTCGGGTTATATTCGGTTTTTTCTATATTTAAGTTATTTTAGTTCTGCTCGAGACTTGTTGGTCGCACCAGCAGATTTTGGGTCCGAGATGGATTGCTAATAGATTACTTTCAGATAAAGATACATCGTCTATATTTTTTTGGCAGGATAGGCCCGTACAATTTTTTAGTCTAATACCAATCGTATCTACCTCTTATATCTTTATTTTTCCTTGTCTCAACGGATCTAGAGATACACTGTTAATTGAAAACTTAGAGGGGAAAAGAAGCTAACTGATTTCAATTTTTATTATTATTTCTCTGACTGAAACTAGGAATTTTAGTCATGGATCATGATTGGTTGATTAATAACTTCTTAGTGAAAAATATCAAACTATAAAATAGTGAATTGTTTTCAACTGGTTCCAATAGACTCACTGATATCAAGCTGAGGAGAGAGAGCAAAAATTACAACTGGTGAGAAAAGAAAACAATCAAAAAGAAAAAAAAAGAAGCACACAGGAGAAAGGAATTTTCATCTGCGCTGTTCACACTGGTTTATACAGAGAAAGCGGATTAAAATAAAAACCGAAAAAAAAACAGCAATCAAATCAACGATTAACAAATACAACTGATCAAGACCCACACATCTTCACTTACGTCAACAATGGACCTCATGAGATCAAAGTCAGCGCTGTCGTACCGAATCGATTTTGTTCAATTGAAAACTGTGAAACAATCAACAGAAGAAATTAGTGTGCAAGCAGTTAGTAACAAATTGAACGAACAAGGTCAGAGCGCAGAACTGACATTTAGCACAAAAATGTACAGTCAGAAATATTCATTTATGATTGCCGTTGACTCGTAACAAATGATCCATTATACAAAATATTACGGCGATCAACAGCAAACGGCCCTTTCTTTTCTATGAAAAGCTGAATCGCAGGATTTGTTGCACGAACCCGGATCGTGAAAAAAACCCAGAAAACGTCTGGTTGTCGATAAACTAGCTGATGGCATTTTCTCCCACAAAGTTAGTCATTGACAGAGCGAGAGTGAAGAGTGTTTGGTGAGAAAAATCATTATAGCTATGTTGGTCTCAAATACGACCCATCATACCTATCCATCAAGCTCACGCAAGTGTACTTAATCAAAAAAGTACACTAGCAACTAATGGTGCGACCAAACTCAAACAATTGCTGGTAGAAAGGTAAAACAAGAGTAAAAACATAAAACTAAAGTTTGTTGCGGATAATACATTCATAGGGCAATCGTGTTGGCGGAACTTCTAATTGAACGATAAATGTTTGCCTGTCTGTGGGTTATGAAAATCGATTCTACGGAACATTTCGTATAACTTCAGCGTCTGCCGTGTTGGAGATTACAAGACAAACTTAAATAAGAAAATCACAGCCGGTATTGTCGTCACATGGAAAGTTAAACAGACAGCCAGAAAAATCAGTGCGGTCAGAAAAATATTACATCGAAGAAATTTCTATCATGCACGTTAAACAGATAGTCAGAAAGTCATAACACTTGTACAAAAACTCACAGATCTAAAAACATTTGGTCAGAAAAGTGAAACACCGGAAAAGTTCGAACATACAGTTACTGCATGGGTCCAAATGTTTTGAAAATTGCCACGCCTATTGCTTAGCAGTGACAGTGTTTTTATTCGGGAACCAAAACATAGTATCAATGAGTAATTAGACAGTTAGAAGTGCAATTTTGTAAATCTAGGTTTTTTTAGAAACACAATGCCCAATGTTTGTAGAATTGGCCTAGGAAGGCCATTGCTTCACAGTTGCTTCATAGCAATGGAAAAGACGAAGAATATAAAAATATTTTCAGCTCCATCTTCGAAATACGATCATCAGATTGGGCCAGGTTGCTAAACTAAGAAACAGGGAGTACACAATTGAGTTATGACCGGTGTGGTTAACTCATAGAGTAATTTCGGATAGGGTACACCGTCTGCTCGTCACGCTATCTTATTTTCGGCCGGATAGATTCGTGCAACTTCTTAGTCTAATACCGATCCTAATCTTACTCTTATACTTTCTAGTCTCAGGGTGTTTAACTAGTCTCTGCTAGGCTCAATAGATCTAGGGTATACTGGTTTGTTGCGGCTGCTGAAGTTCTCTTGGAGAGACAACTAATTTCTAAGTTAAATTCAAATCTCTCTGGTGCTGAAATTACAAGTAATTTCAGCACTTACAAATAAGTGGGTTGTTAGTTAGATGGATCATGATTGGTTAATATTAAATACTTTACAGTGGTAAAATATCCAATTTATCCAATCATAAAATATAGTTTAGATCAGGTTCCACCCATCCGGGTTTTACAGAGTTTTTTAGAATTATCTTTCTGCAATTCAAAGGATGGATGATGAACGTTGGTATTCGGCGAACATCGTATTCTTGTCCGGTTCCTCTTGTTAGAGAAGTTCCAGGACGCTGGAGTTAGGGACATCAATCGTTGTGTCGTTTTGTGACAACGACTGTGTTTCCCAATGAAATCAATCTGATTTCAAAATGGTTTGCTATGACGGGTTTTTCTGTATATGTAGAGAACTTGTTTTGTGTTCAACCTCGTCTGGGAATGGCGTGGAGATTGTGTGTGGAAGGGATGCCTTTTAACTCGGATCTGTACGTATACCTGAACATCGAGGTGGTCATTGGTCTAGTTCAATGAAGTCCTTTTCTGCGAAGTCAAGTCGTACTCTAAATCCTTTGAGTTGTGATTGTGGACGGCATATCGGTTGTGGTTAGCCATTCTTGTTCGAGTGTAATGGGATCATTTTGTCTTTGGATGTTCGTCTTTGTTGTTGTGTGTTGATCTATATACTGCAAGGTATGATTTACATTTTATAAAAATTTTTTTAGTTTGGTTTTTTAATTATGAATTTAGTTAGTTGTTTTCACAAAAGCATTTTGTTTTAGTTCTGTTATTTTGAAGAGTTACTCACCCTTGAGTACCTCTTATTAAAAATATAAGTGTGGTCACAAAGCGTGGATGTAGCGCGGTGGGTTAGGCCGGCTATAGAGCATGCTCAGGACGTCCTCTCTGATGGGTTAGGCCAGGAGTGGGAGTATGGTTTCGTGCGGTTTCTTTGAGAGGTCCTGTTATGTGATAACGTTTTGTGTTGGTCTTTCTTATGTTTCTTTGGTTGTGTCCTTTTTTCAAAAATCAAATTGTTTTTGTTATTTTTTGTCTTTCGACTTTTTTGTGTTTTATTATTTCTTTCTTAGACTTTATAATAGTCTTCAAAAGAATAAAGTATCCAGTTTTAAACTGGGTTAATCCGGTTTGGGTACCGTTGGTTTTCTTTTCTTAGTCATGGTGTTATTTTATGATTTGTGCTGTTTAGTAAGCTGCGTTGGTTAGTTTGGTTTAGTATATAATTCCTTTCCAACCGGGTTAAAGGAAAGTTTGAAATTTGTAATCGTGTGTTAGAGTTGTTGAGTGTGAAAACTTGAAACATAAAATCATTATTTAAACAATTTTTCGTGGGCGAGCTGTGCGAGTTTGAATAGAATTCTTGTGCGAGTGAATGAAAATATCAAAAGGTTAGTACTGCAATTTCATTTTATCAGTTTATTACATAGAATTTCAATTTTACTGCTAGTTTTTTGGGGGAAATTTAAAGTTATAAATTTTCACCATAATTAAATTTACTGCTTTATGGGGGAATAATTTATAAATTAATTTACTACAATTGGTATGAATTTCATCATATTATCTTGTGTAAAATATTAAAGAAATTTAGAAGAATTTTAACAAGTTTATTTTTTATTTTTCTTTTCTGTTTTTTGCAGATGATCGTGGTATGAAGACTAAAAATGTAAAAGAAACATGAGTAAAGAATGGTTAGTACTAAATTAAATTTATTAGTTAAGAATATTTTTAAATTATACTTACCTGTTAGTCGTCTGGGAAAAAGCCGTGGGAAAAGATGTCGTGTTTTATGTCCGAAGTTGTTAGTAATTTTGCTAGTATGCGAATGATGTTTTTAGTTTGAAGCAGTGGCCAAAGCAATTGAAGTGCTTTAATGGTTTTTAGTTCTTCGGTGCCTACTGCAAACTCATAAGGTGTGTTTTGAATGAGGTTATATATTTTGTGATTATATTTAGTATTGTGAATAAATTCTAATATTGGGATTTCTGTAGGTTGGATAAATTCATGTGGGATAAGGAAGGGTCTGGATTCTTCGGCCTTAAAGGTCTTCGTGATGGGACAAAATATATACATTTGTGTTACTGGGTCATAATTGCGGAGGATGCCGTGGAGGTTAGTACCCTTGATGCAATAGGTGAAATTAAGAAAAAATGGTGAAGTTTACTTCGAGTTAAGAAACTGAAAACGATGGTGTGGTTGTCTTGATGGAGTATGTAAATCAAAATGATTTTGTATAAAGCGATAGTATGTATATGTATGAGTCTGTTTAGTGCGTAACATAATGTCGAGTGAACAGTGGAAATCGCGTTCATGTGGTGCAAGGAAGTGAAAGGTTAGTGAAAATAACTGAAATTTTTCTTTAAAACTTTCGTAAGCTTGAATATCAGTTAGTGCTTCAGAAATGATGTGATCATATTTTCTATCAAAAATATTAAGTGTGAATACATATGACGTTTTGATGAAGAATTTTTCTGTTAGTTGTGGGTTAGCGAAGCGGTCGTCATCTAGAAATTGGTCTTGATTAGGTCGGATGATATTATGGTCGTAATATTCTATTGTAAATTCGTTAGCTCGGGGTGCAGTGAATGTTTTTAGTGATTTTTTATATCCTATATAAGTAAATTGTCTAGGTGTTAGTGTTGCGGTGAGTCTATATAG